TTGAAAATGGGATTACGCAAGTATGCGTGTTATAAACGTCAGAAAGGTCAATAGGAAGAGGAAAATATGTTCACCTTTCCTTATTAATGTATCCATCGCAGGTGCTTGAAATCGTCATCCACAAGGAATATTTTGTTTTCTGTATCGATTTCGCAGTGATTCGGCTGGCGCTACACCATATATTTGATGAGAAAACATTTATAAAACTGCCCCAGCGGTTATGATCTTCCGGATTACTAATGTGAGATTATTTGAACTCTACATCAGTTCAGATCTGTAGAAAATCGTAAAATAAGACCACTGGATGGATGGAAATTTGCAATATGTGCAATAAAATATGCATTATTTGGAGTTTGAAAATCGTCATTATGGTGTGAACAAACGGTTTGAGTAATTTTCTCTAAAAATCGCAAAGCGCACTCTACATTGATGGTGCATCAAAAGCAGGGTTGCTTCCACTCACTTGCTATAAAAAAAAACTGTTTTTCGGAATTATGAAATCATTAGACGTTGTAATGATAATAAAAATTGGAACTTGTAACACCGACAAACCGACATGACACTTAATTCTGACTTATGCCCGAAAATCGTAAACGGCCAATTTAAATGTGCAGTGATCCGAACTGTCAAAACCATAGGATTTTTCGATCTAGATAAAAATAATTCATCCAGAATAGATCAGACACGAACCAATTCATAACTTTTGCATGCGGGTTCATGGCTTAGCTAAAATTATTATTAAACTCAGGCAAAAATAGCAAATCATTTTCATAAGATCCACCGTATGAAGCGAGTTTTTATTATTTTTTGTGCTTTCATAAGATTCTTATGTAATTCACACGATCTGAGCGAAATTTAGACGACACAACATTAATTTCCATACGTTCCGCACATCCATTTCATAAGCGCTCTTATGAAATCCGTATGTCACATCAGTGTGAAAAATCATAAGTGCTTCGTGAGAAAAAGAAAAATGGCGACCGAAAGTAATTTGTTGTCAGACCTACCGATTACTTCTTCCGTTTTAAACACATTTAAAGGTAATTTATTGTTTGAAATAGTTAATAATCGATAATTCAAAATAATTTTTCACACAGATTGTGGAATAGGAACGGTGCAACTGATAACGTACAGCGAAAACCAATTCCAGGAAGCTTTATCCCAAGCCGATGTAAATTGGAATTTTGACCATATTTGGAAGCTAGTCAAAGATTGGCATGTACGTAACGTAAGTATTAGGATAAATAATGTATAGTTGTCAACATTAATGAAGATTCGTCACTGCAGGGTCTGGAAAACGTAGAAATTGTTTACATTGACGATACGCCAGATCAGAAATCGCAGGAGGTAGAGAGTCTTCAAGCTTCTCCGTATCTAAACGCTCAAATAAAACAGCAATCCCCAACCATAGATGGGCTCCTTTCAGAGTACACGAGATAAGTAATAAGTTCTTGTATAGAAATAAATGTATTTTTGATAAATAGAATATGTTGTCTTTTATATGAACTTCAATAATAAGTTAACATTTGTTACACCGAGCCACCAAAATGTATTGCAGGTTCGGTATTATGAATGTTAAACATGCTCCATGTAATCATAAACTTAATTCCATTAGAGTGTCTTATGAAATCCATAAAATAGATTAGATGTCCGCTCATAAGATTATCTTATGAAACATTCTAGACCATAGTATGAAAAAGAACATCAACGCCACTGACGTCATTTCATAAGAACTTCTTATGAATTTCAAAGTTTTTTCTTTTGTCGAAATTTCATAAGCATATCTTATGGAGCTCATACGTAATATTTCCCGCGAACACGGAGTGTGCTTTGGTTAGAAATTTTATTGTTTTTGCTATGGTCATTCATGTCGGTTTGTCGGTGCTTGTATGTTACAAGAAGAGGTTATAAAGTTTGTGTTTGACACTTAAAACCGCAGGCCGCCTCGGGCCGCACGTTGGGCAACGCTGATCTAGACTAACATTTTAAAAGGGGCGGAGAAGCCAAAATGTAAACAAATCATATGTTGCACATATAGAGAGAACAGTTCACAAACTACTCTTACTTTTTATTCATTCGCCTATACCGTGTGGTGCTCGTTCACCGCTCACTATAGAGAAAATAATGTTAAAAACATTAGTATAATTATTTTTTGTTGGTAGAATAGTTAGGTATTCCAGTAATAGCGGTGGCGGTGCACCGATAGTTGGGGCTTACCCCTAAATAATGGTGGAAAACCAGAAAAAAAACAATTTTCATTTTTCTTGAACTTGAAATTAGCCCGAAAATTACGACGAAAAATAAATGTTGCTTAGGGGCTGTTCATAAACTACGTAGACAGTTTAGGGGGGGTTGACAACTATCCACGGCTCACAAATTTAAAAAAAATGGAAAATTGTCTATGCAGAGAAGCATAGGCAAGAATCCTAAAAAACCGTCTAGTGTTCCTATAATAGTGGAATTCATTAGAAACCAATACGTTCCACTATTATAGGAACCAAAATTAGCAACAACTATTGAAACAGTGTTCCAGAGGACGAATTTAAAAAAAAAATACAGCCTTATCACAATGTAATATTTTTTTTACCAAAATATAGGTTGACAACTATAGATTGAAGTATAAAAACTGCATGCAGATCGTTTGGTTGATTTTTAATAAATTAATTGTCTTAGTTCCACCACTATTGGCTGACACACCATATAGGGTGTAGCACTACTTCGGTATATGGAACTCATTTCCGTCATACACATCAAAAATAATGTAGACAAACAGCAATATCCAGCAATATGAGCAATCAAGCGTGCACTTCTGTTGTCAGTGCCAACTAGCGAGTTTGGCAATAGAGTGCCTGCTTGAGTCGAACAAATGTCATTCAAATGACCGTCGCTCAATTTCAACTTCTAACGAAAATTTCGCACTGTCGTACTCTAACAGAACTACCAAATTCTATCCTCTTCATAAGTTTGGCCTGAGAGGTATGGATGCTAACCACTACGTCGGGGCCGTCCCCATTTGAAGATTGGTATCTAAGGTAAGTGAATTAAATGGAAATGACTAATCCTTCTCTCGCTTTTTATGCTGGTAACTTAAGAATGTGGAAAATAAAGCATCCAAAAAATGCTGTCTAAATTAATTTTGAATATGTAAATAAGGATTCTATTCACCGCTCATGTCGTAGTGCAAATATTGAGTTTTTGAAACTTCTGCCTTTTCTAACCATTCAACATACTAGGGTAAACGCTCCTATAGTTGCGATACGTTAGAATCGTTAGGTTCCTGTAGGTGTAAAACGGAGTCTCCACACACAACTAAAGGAACATAACGCTTCTAACGTATCGCAACTATAAGAGCGTTTACCGTATAAGCACAGACAAACAGACATAACACTAGCAAATTGTTCATCGAACAAGCATTTAACGGTCAATTTAAAAGTATCGTAGTTGGTAGTACCGCCACCTGTGGCGCGCATAGTCAGTTCCCTTGCGTTTGACGTTTATACACTATCGCCATCTGTTCAGCGTACTACCCACCACAGTGTACTCAACAGATGGCGGTAATGTTTTATCGACGATGTTTTACAGTGAGAAATATTCAATGTGTTATGTCTGTTTGTCTGTGGTATAAGGTTTGTATGTTATTGAGGTAGTACCTATTAGAGTTTAATTTCACATTCGCCTGTCGTAATGTCTATTTTAAGTTTATTTTTTAGTGAGCGGTGAATGGAACCCTTGATCGCTGAAAGTTATAGCTGAGAAAATTTCCTACAAGAATATCCATCAAACTTTCTCTCAGTGCAACATGGGTTACAAATCTGTGATAAGCAATGTATTGAGTATAGGAAAAACGTGACGACAGACCGAAGAGGGGTTTGATTTTGCCTAAATTTAGAGTGACATACTATATGCATGCTCCCTAGAAGGCAATGAACAACAAGTTTGGATTTCCCATAGTAATTCCCATACAAATTTCAAATGGTCTGTGCACAGTCAGTTTCTAACCAAACGAGTTCAATTTTTGGGAGGCTAAACAGGACCTGATTTGGAACCGTTCAAGCACTGTGGAGCGAAATTTAAAAAAAATGTATCAGTCTAATGTATACTATCACCGCTTTGGCAACCTATCACTATAGAGCATCTCAACGACTTCGATTTGGCTGATGATTTTGCTTTATTAGCACAACGGCGTAGGGTATGCAGAGTAAGCTCAATGACCTAGCGGAACACTCCTCTGCGGCGGTTCTATCATCGTCAACAAGACCAAATCGTTTTATCAGTGGAGAAAATCGAAAGTTTGAAATATCTTGGCAGCCAGCGGGACCAAGAGCGCGAGTTTAGGAAATCTAGATCTAACCAGATTTTTCAAAGCACCAAAATCCAGATTCTCCATTCAAACGAGAAATCTGTGTTGTTATACACCAGCGATTGATGAGAACACTCAAAAGCTGCAGGCCTACATCAACCGATACATGCGGTATGCAATTCGTGCCTGGTGGCCTCACAACTGGATCTCAAATGCTGGCTCCTTCGTCGATGTCATCAGAAGCCGATATCAACAGAAATTCGAGCACGTACGTGGAGGTGGGTCGACCACATACGAAATCTGCAAACCAGCGCTGGATTGGTACCCGACTGGACATCGCATCAGAGGCAGACCCTGGGGCTCATGACGGCGAAGCCTCAACATGAACAGGAATCTGACCAGGGCCCAAAAGAGTGCAACCGCCCAGGATGTAAATCTTCCACGTTGACCATATGAGGTATGCAGGATACATGAGATAACAAACTGAACTAAACAAAGCCATTGTTTACAAAAGCAATTACGTCCCTTTAAAATGTTGATACAGCTTTGTTTTCAGAAGCACAAATGGTTGGATGGAACTTACATTGGAATTTACAAATTTTCAACTCGACTCGACCTGAGGCTAAAAGATTGCAAGCTAGCACTCCTGCTAAAGGCATGGAAAAGGACAAGACCATTAAAACTCAATCCGTATACTCACTTCTAGGTAGAACTACGTGCAGCAATACCGCAACCAAAAGCTGGAAAATCGCACTTTCACACTTTGGAATTGTTTTTGTTTATCTCGTCACAGCGACTGACTTTTGTCGTTTCTCGTTCCCGGCTTGACGCTTGATGCGATTGCGAGGTGAATGTTTTTGTTACGATTGACGACGACGACAGCAGGCTCTGCCAGTTCCCGCGCTCTCAACTTTCTCGTTCACACCACCACAGCCGCCGCTTCGCTTTCCCAAGCGCTTGGTCTACTTCAAAGTGCGAAGATTTTTTCCTCGGATTCCCTCGGACAATCCCTGGAGGGCAAGATGTTTTCCGCTACAATTTCACTTGCCGGTCGTCGGAGTGCACCTTTTTCGATTATCCAAACTGATTTTAAATTGCATCAGCAGCCAGAAATTGAAAATTTTACTCGAAACTGACGCGTCCAATCTTGTCAATTTGCTTCATAATAACACACAAACGTACAGTCTGCCCGATGCCGAATCCGATTAGTCCCTTTTTGAGCGATTGAAGTTCTACCGTGCAAGGTGCAGACGTATTTGACGGCATATTTCATCCATACACTCCAACACAACTATTCTAATTGACGTCACCGTATTCATTTAGTACGAAAACTCTACACGGACGTCACTGGATACTCACCACTACATTTAAACTCAGGTAAAGCGTAGGTACCTTACCGTGGAAACCTTTATGTTTCGAAGTCGCATTTCAAAATACAAGATGGCGCCCATGAGCTGAAATCTCGCGTAACATTTGAAAAGGGCCTATGTCCAAAATGTAAACAATCCAGAAAATGAATTGTAAATTTTTCCGCCAGTATTTAATTCCTATATAAATAAATTGAAGTATTTTAAGCATTTATATTGTTCACAATAACAATAGTAACTATATCTCAGTACACAACATCCAAAACATGCGAAACGTTTTCAAAAATACATGAAAATCGATAAAAATTTAATATCACAGTAATAAGCCTTTTTGTGAATCCTTAAATGGTTAGGCCCTTTTTGTTAAGCCGTTGTGCTTGTCATCATAAATTATAGGCCCTTTGCTAAGCCTTTTCTTAACGTCAAATAAATCATCGGCCCTGCCTCAAGCAGTAGGGCCTAGCTTTGATTTGAAATTTTTCAATCATCGGCCCTTCTACGTCGCTAGGCTTATGAATGGAACCTCATCGAACGAAAAAAAATATATGTTAGGCCCGAGGTTAGGCCGTTTTAGCATGAATGATTGGAAAAATTTCGTGGATCGGCCGTTTTTAAAATCAAGTTATTTTTAATGATTTTTATCGATAATGCGGAACATTCCTATACGACTGGTAGCTAATTACCAGTGCTACAGAATGGTATCAAAAATCGGTTTGTTTACATTTTGATCATAGGCCCTTTTCAAATGTTACGCGAGAAATCCAACCTAGGATTCGATCGAAAAGTCAGTGGCGCTCCCGTTCGGCCGTGGAGAGAAAATGCGCCATTTTGGATGAGGACAACAAGCGTGCCGCTGCAATTGTACCAGCATTGACAAAAACGGGAAGAGACCTCAGCCGGCTGTGAATTTATTTACTGATCAGTCATAATTTATTCCCGAAAAGAATAAAAAATTTGTTCGCGATTTTTTTAAATATCTTGCATATTATAAATCAATTGACGTTCGCACTATGGACTTCAAAGTATCAAAAAATTTCAAATTCAATCTAAACAGGTAATTAATTATTTTAATTTGCTACCACCATGGAAATGAATTAAATTCAACCCAAAAAAGTGCTGAAAAGGTAATTTTAAAACAGTGATCTCATTATGGAAGTTGAACGAAGGAAATTTCCCTGAAAATTTTAAATGAACTGAGGCCTCATTGCGCAAGTTGAAACGACGCATAAAACGCTTATATGAAAAAGTTTGTTATTTCGACTTGCGAAATGAGCCCCCGCTTACGGAGAAGATGTTTCGACCGTCGTACACAATCGAGAAAACAAACACAGTGTAATTATTTACATTATTTGATAAATCCCAGGTAATGATGACAGCAGTGGGTATCTTTTCTTAATTCAAATTGTTTTCAAAATCACAAGCATTAATTATGTCACGCTAAATCGAGGAGAAATTTACTGACGAATTTCCATGTAAAATTCCACATGATTTTCATGTGACCACACATAAACAGAATCCCCCCTTCGATCCACCCAGAAGCACACATGAAATTTATGAGTCAAATTTTTTGGTACAAGCAATGTAAATATTTACCTTATTTGACAAAACCCAGGTAATCATGACGTTTGATTATTGAAAACAATTTGAATGAAGAAAAGAGACCTACACAGAAAAAAAAAGTTGTTGAATATTACATCCAAACTGCTGCAACCAGGTCAATCCATCGGTTGTGTAATATAACACGATGTACGATGTACATAGATTTTGCGAACAAAATTACATCCATTGATGTAATATTGTACCTGCTTTTTGCTATTACATCATTATTTCATACACCAGCTTGAATTACATTGATCGATATTACATTTTTGTTTGCTGTGTACTGCTGTCATGATTACCTGGGTTTTTGTCAAATAAGGTAAATATTTACATTGCTTGTACCAAATAATGAATAGTATGTATGGTTACACATGGCTTTTATGTGTACACATATCAAGTATGTGATCGCATTGCAAAAAATCATGTATGGGACACATAAAAACAATCTTTGAAATTTTATCAGTGTATCGTGACGTTTTTCCTTTACCTAATGCATTGCTTGACACAAAATCTATGAATAAATAAAGTGAAGCATAATTTTCGAATGATATTATTCTTATGGAGTGGAGTACTTTTTTCCTGGTACTTGGAGTATTTTTTTCCTGATTATTTCTTACACTGATAAAATTTCAAAGATTGTTTTTATAGGTACACATGATTATTTGCAATGTGACCAACAAATGATATGTAAATGATATGTGTACACATAAACTTCACGTGTAACTACACATACTATAAATTTGACATATAAATTTCATATGTACATCTGAGTGGATTCTGTTTATGTGTGGACACATGAAAATCATGTGGAATTTTACCAATAAAAATGTGTCGAATTTTATGAGTGAAGGAATATTTCATCGAGTACTTTTACATCTTTTAAACATGAGCAGTAGCTCTTTCAAGTGGCAGTGGGCGAAAGTGGCTAAGGAGCATGAGTTTTGGGTGAGCAGGAGCGTCATTGGGGTGCGAGTGCCAGTATGATGAAAGCGCAGGTGGGGTGGAAGCTCCGGTTGAGTAAAAAGTATTTCAAAATAGGTAGGCTGGACTCGAACCTTGAGCTGGACTCAGAACTTCTCTCCCGTACCTTGCTGTGAAGAACACGACGTACCCAGGATCAATATGTCGGATTTAAAGTTCAAGCTTAAGTACTTAAACTGTGTTTCATTTGGTAAATTGTCACTTAAATTTTAAACTTAAAAAATATATAATGTTAGAAAATCCCACTATTGTTGATCGTCCGATTTTCGAGAAGGTGTTTGTCAAAATTGATTGCTTGCCTGTCCTAAATAAGTCTGATAGCAGGACTATATGAAAATTTGCTTTATGTCAAATTTAAGTAAAAATTCCCCAAACTAAAGCATTTCGAAGATGTACACATTTAATCACGGTTTCTCTGTTCGGTAATTTTATTTACAGTTTTTGAACTGCAAATCATAAAAACTACCAAATATTCAGCTGTTTTCAATAAAACTACTGATGTTCAGTAGCTTTTGCGACAAACTACTGAATGCGGTTATAGCAATTAACTACTTCATTCGAGCAGTTAAAATGACGTTTACTACCACTCGAACTTTGAAATAAAACATTGTTTTGAGATTTTGTCTTCTAGAACCACAAGAAAAGTAGTCAACATTTGAGCGTTTCATAAAAAAAATAGTTGGTCCAGTTTTGTGAAACCGCTGGTAAAATGTCACACCAAAACTGCTTGACAAAGTGGTCAATTACTGGATTTACGGTAACTTAACAGCATTATGGTGAATGACTAAAACTCAGTAAAATAGAACACCGAGTTTTCATTACCACCATTTGATGAATTTTCACATAAATTTGACAGATTGAATTTTATTTTTTTTTCAAATAAACTAAGCTATTCTACCAGACTTAATTTTGACCGACCAGGAATTAATTTTGACAAACACCTTCTCGAAAATCGGTCAATTAACAACAGAGGGATTTTCGAACATTATAATTTATTTTCGAAGTGTTAAATTTAAGGGAAAATTCACCAAATGGAACATAGCCTCAGTTACCTAGCCCGTCAAGATTGTGCAAAAACCCAATAATAGTACCATTTGGTACACATCCACATTGGAACTGGTAGTAGAATTCCAGTTCCGTTTCGCAACTGTAAAGATCATCGGCTCTGTGAACAATAATGTTTATTTACATTTATCGTTTGGTTCAGCGTTTGACCACAGACAAACAGACGTAACTCTTTGAAAAACTTGTTCTTGAAAACATAGTATATCAAAACATATAACCTCAGTAACGACATCTATCTGGCTTCTCGCGGAAAACAAGCTTGCTCGCTAACTCGTAAACAATATTGCATAAAATTTCTATATAATATATAGAAATGTCAAAGTAATCCGATGCCAGCGCTGCGGCGAGTAGTTCGCGGAACTGATAATATTCAAATCAACCGTTAAATGCATGAACGAAGATACACAATGAAGAGTTACGTCTGTTTGTCTGTGGTTTGACGGTTCGTTTGGTTCTTTTGGCTTCAGTTTTTGCGCGTAATCGTCTTTCATCAAGTCTTTCATACACTCTAAAACCATAAACGAAGTGACAGACGCCTAACTGGCGAAGACATCAATTAAAATAATGTGGTTCGCTGTAATAGAATTTTGTTAGAAGCTTGTGCCATCAGCCACCAGATGGGCTAGTATTTTTGTTTTGATTTGAACATAGTTGATTTTGTGTGCAATATGATCTTTGACAGTGTGCAAAGAGTGTATCATTTTGTCATTTTTTTATGCATTTCAGTTTAGAGTAGAGTGAAAGAGATAGAACCAAAATATTCTAGTACATTTAGTGTTGCCATGTGGTACAATCCATTAGTAGTGTTTCCATGTGGTGCAATCCAGTAGTAGTGGTGTTGCCATGTGGTACACTGAAAAATTGCAATAGCACGTGCGTCACCAAAGTTTTCGAGCCGCTCCGTCTGTCACTTCGTTTGTGTTAAAACGCTGTCCAGACTGCAGAGTTATAAAATGTTATAACGGTTGTCAAATAATTGCAACACAGAAACCACCATCAAGATAGCGCTATAACATGTTATAACCATCACGCAGAAAAAACTATCGTCGTAACAAAAATATTTGAGGTAAATTTAAACGTAAACTCAGTTTGTTCTGGCCACAAACATAAATTAGGTTGATTTCAAACGTATTGCATGTTTGAAGTCATGTGAAATCAATGTTTAAAATAAAAATGATGTTACGTTTATTTCAAAAATATTCGTGTTGAA